TTGAAACTTTCGTTTCGGAAGCTTCCTCTTCCGGAATAGTACCTTCCCCTACTACCTCCACCACTGTTGCCTCCTGCAAAACATTAAACCCATCTTTCATATACACACAACTCTTCACTAAACCAGCTTTTTTTCTTGGTGAGGTCTCTCATGTTTCCTACCTCTACTGTTTGTTTTCTTCTCCTCTAAAACAGCTTGTCGATCCCCAATTGTAATCGGTGAGGCCTATACAGGTTACCAACCAAAAGAGTCAGACACTCCTAAGACAAAAACCAAGCTCAAAAAGGCTTAGGAAAAACATGAGGCTATAAGAAGATTTTGTTCAAGGCTATGGTTTTTTTTACCTCGAGCGCATTCTGCTTTCCGCTAGATGTTTCGAATTCCACAAAACCAAAACAGAAACCTTGCTGCTGCGAGGCACATAAAACGTGTAAGGAACCTATAAGCGAGGGATTTGTTTGGGGGAGATTGTCGATATACAAACCTTATTGCTTCTGACTTGAATTCCCTCGAGCTTGATAGCACCAAACTTCTTGAAAATGTCTTCAAGTTGTGTTGGTGTTGAGTCAAAAGGCAAATTTCGGACATAAATCGAATGACCATCATCTGTAATAACAAGAGGATAAAACAAAAGGAATCAAAAACCAAGGTAAGATTGAGCTTATTCCAACAGCCAAAACGAAAAATATTACAGACCATCCACATCAACATTGCTACTGTTTGGAACATTCTCGAGAGCCGAAGCCTCGGGTGCTGCTGCAGGCTCAGCAGGAGGAGCATTTGTCTTCTTGTTGGTACTGACCTGAGCTGGTGTTGGCTTGTGCCGAACAACTTGTGTTGGTGCTGGTCCGCTATTCATCAGTTTAAGCTGTTGAAACACACAAAGACTTGTAATGTTTACTATAAACGGAAAAAAATATCGAAAAAAACAAAATAAAACTCAGCTATCAAGCATATACTCACGATGGAAGCATATGAATGCTTAGGGGCATCTCCTGGAGGCACTGACAGATCATTATGACTTAATTGTGGTGGAGGTTCGATAGATTCAACGTCAACAACAACTCCTTCATCTTTATCAGAAGGATCATACACCTCGGCCACATTGTCAAGATCTTCCTCCTCAATAGAAGCAACTGGTTCGGGTTCTACCTCGGCCTCGTGGCTAACGACAACACGTTCTGACAAGAAGTATGGGAATGTTAATATCCTAACCTAAAAAGAACGAGTACTACGTGGTAAGAAAAAGGAAAAAACTGTGCATCTTTCATCTAACCTGGTTCCAGGGAAGCCTGAACGTCCCTGGTGGTTCCATTGATGGTCACAGACCGAGCTTGAGTAGTCACCTCTTTCTCCTCGAGGAATCGAAACACGTCGTTTAAGACAAAGTATCCCTTGTCTTGTGGAGCCAAGAAAAACGTTTGACTGAACTTCTTCCTCACATTATCGTTCCCTGTTAAGCGTCCCGTCACCAGCACAATAACGCCTCTCTCATGAGACTCCTGAGCATCCGCAGTTTCTATCTCGGCCGTGTAGTCTTCGTATTTCAATGACAAAATCTTGTCGTTGATCGCCTGAAATCCAGATTGGAACCAAGTTAATATAACTCAGAAGACAACAACATAGCAATTGTTGGAAGTCACAGAGTTTATAGAAATAAAAGAGGAAAAGTGTAATCTCACTTGCATAGTTGTGACGGTAGTCACAGTACCGGTACCATCAGGTCGGGTTAACAAGCTCGAATCCTGATAAAACCGATGAACTAAACCGGGAGATTGGTGAAGAATATGATAGTATTGCTCCACAAAGGCACGACCAACAACCTCAGCACCAGGGGAAGGACTAGCTTCCTGCTGTGCCATCTACACTCAACATTTATATATAATGAGAGCTTATTAATTATTAGCAAACGTTTATCTTCTTTATACAAATATACATAGCTTAAGTTTAACATTAACAATAATCAAGCTGTGTGTTTATTCATTTGTTTCTAACTACTAAGCAATTGCTAAGACTCAAAAATGGACTCTAATTTGCATAAATCTGGTGAACCTATTTCTAATCCGGTTCTATGAATGCAAATCGACGCTATAGAAGAAAAAAAACAATCCATATCATCAAAATCTGAACTGACTAAAAAAAAGCCACAAATACTTAACTACAGAAACTCAAGTAGTAATGTTTATGTTCTTCACACAAAAACAAAGAAGCTGTGTGTAATGTTGTATCAGTTGATAACAAACTTTCTCTCATGTGGTAAATTGTGTTTAACATTTAATGACCTTCAATCAATCAATAACCTTAAGGATGATTCGATTTCGCAGAACTCAGATAAAAGTCAACGATCTAATTGATAAGTCTCAAAATTTCACTGTTCTAGATTGAAACTAAGCTCAAAC